AAAGTACGTCCTTTATGAAGGCATAGAGCCTTTACTACATGAAAATGAAAATTAATGAATACACTGTGTACAGTAATTTACCTGATAAGACAGACCTCAGAAAAATACTTTATGAGAGCTTTTATACTTTTATAAAGCTGTCTATAATGAAAATTAATTAACTAAGGATTTTTTTGCCCTGCCAGGATGTGGCCGAGTTATCCGGAGTGCCGGGTTATCGAGAGCCGAGTTTTCGAGGTTCTACTGTATTCATGAAAGTAATATTCTTAAAAATATTTACCAATTAAACATACTTCTGTTAAAAAAACATGCAATTATACATCCAAAATAAATTTAAAATTTAATATTGAAATGTACTGCTGACAATGTATAAATTATATAAAATTTTAATTTTATATTATACAGTGATGCCTCGTAATTCAAACTTAATTCATTCCAGAAGACCATTTAAACTCCATAATGTTAGAAGTCTGAATCAACTTTTCCCATTAGAAATAATGGAAAGTGAATTAATCAATTCCAAATCCTAAACTATATTTATTTCAATAAACTTAAAACAGCAAATAAACAACATTTAAGGTAAAAATAACACATTTAAATGCTTTAATAATAAATTAAAACACAAAAACAATAAATAAAATACGTAAATATTGTGTAATAAAATAAAAATTACATTATCTGATCATGCCTATTGACTTTGGCATCTTAAACATTGCCACCAGATTTGCCAAACATGTATGGCTTTCATGCTTCGCAATAACTTCCTTTTTCACCTCAACTGTCGATATTATAATCTTCCTCTTAGACCTCGTTACTTATACAAACTTCTTCGATGCCATGGTTAATAAGTAAAGGTTATATTGGGTCAAGCACAAAGTTTTTGCATATTTTTAACAGCCAACATTACTTAATATAGATGTATAATTTAATTATAACAGTTGTAAAATTTAATACTTTACTGCTAATTTGAGGTGGTGTTCTTTGTTTAGAATCTTATTTTGAGCTTTTCACTTCACGTCATGTTTGAATAAAATCAAGTTGTAATGTCTTCGGATAAAGAGCATGTCAGGCATATTATTCTTTATGAGTTTTAGAAAGGATATCCAAACAAAAACATTTCAGATGTAAAAAACTTATACCAAGTAAATGTGATGTTTGTAAAAGTGACACTGTACGGTCCGCGAATGAAAAGGTACAAAGAAAAGGCTCTACGACAATTGTATATTCGCAGTCTTATTCCTTTATTTCATTTTGAACAAAATATAAAAAGAATCCCAACTGATTTTATGATAATTTACAATTGAACGTGATTTTCACAAAGAACTCTTTGTCCCAAACAAAGGACGATGACACATCTGTCCCGATTGCGTAACAATAAATTTTGGACAAGCGCGTAACTAAATCTAACTTAAATTTAACTTAATACTAATGAAATAATAATGAAGGTAAAATAATAGAAGAGAATGAGAAATGAGATGATTCACTCGGGATTTCTATATGTCAGGTTGATCAACGCCTTGGGTGGGACCTGCTTCTTTTATCGTGACCTCCATCTTCAAGATCTTCTCAACTCAAATTTTCTCCAGAGCTCTTCACGACACGTCCGACTTCTTTCCTGTCTCCTTGAAAACAAGCCTTTCTCCCCTGGCCGCTATTTCCCAGGTCACCTTCTTTCTATTGTCTTCCCCCGATTCTTAGAACAGCTAATCCTACCATCAGGTGATACCAGTCTTTGGAAAGTTTTAGGAAACGAAAGAACAAAGAAACAAAGAAAGGGCTAAGACTTACAAAAATTAAAAATTATAAATATACAATATTATGGCCGACGGCCACATAAAAATTTGACAATTTAGACAGTCAAAATATGACTTTTTTACTTGAAAGGGAGTAACTACTGTGACTCCTGATAATACCGTGAAAAAATTCAAATGTGTATGGGGAAGGTGTTCCAAATTTCAAAAGTGTGAAATTGGTTTAAAAAATTCTGTTTGAGAAATTATGAACGAAAGGATACAAAAAAAAGGTACAGATGCCCAAAAGCTGTTGACGAAGAAAAATTATGGGAAAAAATTGTTGAAAATCAATGAATAACACATAATACAATAAATATAACGAAACACACCAAAAATAAAGTGGAAAAAAAGCACTGAAAACACTTGAGCATAACATGAGAGCAAAAGACAGCTTGGACACACAGCCCATTGCATTTACACTTTGAACAAATTTTTCATTGCTCATGCAGTTTGAAGTTCAAAGCATTGTTCAAACTCTGAAGCAAATTTTTGTTGCATTTTGCATTCGAACTCTAAAGCATTCAAAGTTAGAGTTTGAAATACGAGGTACTACTTTATCTATTTTTTTAATAAATCAATTATAATTATAAAAAATATTGATAAAAATGCAGTTAATGGATTAAATTACAAAAAATAATTCATATTTAGTTATTTATAAACAAAAAATTAATTCATTCTTTACTAACACTTTAACTTACCTAAGACATCACGAACTCTGGTATAAATGCCATCTACATATTTCCAACGATCATGCTTTTTCTGAACAATTCCAGGTCTCATTTTTCCTGTGTGATCATGTTGCTCATATTCACTGCCATAACCAAACTGCAATTTTTCTGCCACATTATGTTGCTTGTAATTACTGTTATATCCAAATTGGTGAGATAAAGGTTGAACATTTAAAAATGATAATCCTGCTGGAGGATCTGTTGATTCTGCAGAACTTTCTAGCTTATCCGATGTACTGTTGTGATCCTAAAATAATTATCGATTTTAAATTTATTTTTGTCTAATAATTAATATATTATTTACACAATTAATTATTATTATCTATTACATGTGAAAAAATTCTATTTGAAACAATTTCAAAATTGATTTTATTTAAGTATTAAATGTAACAATTCTGAATACTTTGTATATCTGTTTTAACTTTTCTGAGAAATTAAAAATTTACATATACTAATACAAATTAACTTAGGACATTTTTCTAGGATGCACACTAATGAAATAAGCATTCTATGGGACTAAAATATTACATACATGAAGATGCAATGAATTTATAAAAATGAGCTTCTTTTTTCAATTCACTCACTAAATACTTCTTTACAAAATAAAGATCAATATTAATTACTGTAGATTATTTTTAAAAAATAATGTAATTAGTGTTGTATATATAAGGAGTGTAATTCTGATTTACAAGCACTTGATAAATGAAAATTGTATACAGTTTCCTTTTATCTCTCTCCCAACCCCTTAAGCCAATAACCCGAGNAGGGCTGTGCATGACTGTCCCCTCCACAACTCCACCGAAGGAGGCCTCTCTCGCATCATTGGTTTTACGCGGAAAAAAAAAGGTCCGATACTTTTTGAACAGACCTTGTATACTCATGCTGTCATAACTCTCTTTCAAAAAAAGTGAATGAGCAATTGGTATAGACGGGTTTTAAATTACCACTATGCAGGACTGCTTTCAGACTTTGTTGGAAAATCTATAAGTAACTGCTATACCAATGGATGATATTTTTGTTATAGTCCAAGGAAGAGTTCACTTACATCTTTACAGTATCATCTTCAACAAAATTTTTTTTTAAATTTTCTAAACTTTAATTTTGTATTTTTTTTGGATGTTTAGTGCTAGTGTACTTTTCTCAAAAACAGACTTATCACACTAGATTAAACATGAAACAGAAGGATCTTGACAAGATCCTTCTGTTATGTATTTATTTTTCAATATGCATTTTGGATATAACAGGTTCCTCTTCAGTCTTAATACATAGATACTTTTTTAGTATTTGTAAGCATATGTATATACATTATTAATTTTATAATAAAAATTTCACAACATATATACACACAGCAAACCACCACCAAATAAGAACATTTTAACAGGACAGACTTGAATCAAAATTTGTACCATTCAATATAACCTCTAGAAAAAAATGTTGAAACCATATTGTAATCACAGTACAATTATACTCTAATAGAATTTACCAACATCCTTCTTACATACCTGCATTGGCTTTGCCTTTGGGTGTGTTTCCCTCTGGCTCACACATATGCACTAGTTTGTTTATTTTTTCCCTGTATCGGTTAATTTTGTACTCTATAGAGTAATATTTATCCTCATCTTCAACAAGATTTTTTTCTTTAACCTAGAGGTCAGATGTTTGTTTTGTTTTTTTGGTAGGCAGAGACCACTGATGAAATTGTTTAACTTACTTTGCATGAATTATTGTGGTTTTGAACTGCTTTCTTTGGGTATGTATTCGGATTCAAAGAAGTATCCATGATCAAGACTAATCTCATGATCCACTTCTTCAAGAATCTACATTCCATTCATTCTCTGGAGAAATTGGCATGGATAAACTATTATCATAGAAAACGGGCCTTATTGAAGATTCTAGATTAGGATAACAATTTTGTATTTGTTCTTAATCAATAATTCCTTAATATTCACTATTCACACACACACAAAAACAAACACAGCAATCACTATAACTTTTAGATTCCTACCAAATCATTGGAATAGCAATGGCATCAACACTTTTCTTTACCTAATTCTTATTCTTATCTCCTAGAAGACAGCCAAAGTACAGATAGTATATTTTCTGAAGATGCGACATAATTGCACACTGTTGTGATTTTGGCATAAATAAACCACAAAGAAAAAAACCACCAAAATCTGTTAATAAGATGATTTTGACAGTTTCTGAGCATGATGAAATGGTAAGATTGCAACAATGTAAAATCTGCCATATTCACCCAGAGAATGTACTGGTACCTTGCATAGTAATACACCACAGACATATTTCTGTAGGGGCACAAAAAAAACTAAGACGACTTTTATTAAATTTATTCTGATGCACTGAAATTCTTCCAAATCTAAACATTTGAATGGCTTTTCAGAATGTTTTCTAAAGTATCATTAATTTATTATTGTAGTGTGGTGTTATTTCTTAATTTCATTTTATTTTGCTCTGGGAGGGATTAGTGTTCCAGTGCCTATTTGTTTGCACCAGTGGCTTTGTAAAAGCAAATCAGTTCTTTAAGTGTAACCTTATTGACCAAATGTTGTTGGAGGACATTGTACCCACTCATTAGTGGAAGTCCTTCACAGAGAAAACAATCACTTAGAGTATTTTAGAAACTATATACATGATGAAAAAACTAGAAACCTAGATTTGAAATTTTTTCCTTTAAACTCTGTAAGAAAAATATATTACTTTGGCAAAAATCTGTTATTGATTAGTGCTATTAATTTACATCTAATTTCAAACTTTAAATTTTTAAATCAACACATTGTTTTAGGTTAACTTTTTTAAAACTATTATATGAATATTTTCAACATCACTTTTAAACTTAATGATTCTTCTTATATTAGATTGAATTTATTTATCATATGAAATTTTCAATTATTGTACATATAATCAAGTATAGTCTATTAATTTAAATCAAGGTTTTACTGTATTTACTACAAATCTCAAAATTTATGTAGTTAATAAAATTCCTTCATTGTAAATAGTAAAATAATATTATATGGTAACTTTGATGAAAAGAATTATGCAGACAAAGAAAATTAATATATTTGAAACAATGCTGTAAAGTAAAACAAAGTTTATCAAGTATAGTCAAATAACTGAATAAATAAAAATAATCATAAACATTTAAAATTGTGCATCAAACAATTTCATATGTACTATAACTAATTTTCTTAATAATACAATATAATTAACAGCTCTTAAAATCATTACCAAGTATAAACAACAGCATTTTCATAGACATAACTTTATTTCAGATGCCATTTATTTAAATTAAAACTGTAAAGATGAAAAGAAAACTGAAATATTTTACATTTTCTATAAAATGCAAAATAAAATATTTTTTGATTGATTGCAGTTCATGTATGTTTTAATCTAAAGATTTTTCAGGTTTATAATTTTTAATTATATTTAAGACTGTTCTTTTAGGTTGATTCTAAGTCAAGAAAACAAAGTACTAATCAACAGGAATAATGTTAAAATGAAACTTGTAAAATATTTTGCTCTAATTTTTTTTTATCTTATGAGCTAAACTATTCTTTACATGTTTAAAAGCATACTCGAAAAATTTTTTAATTTCTTTTTTCTATTTTTTGAATGAAATCCAATTTTTGTCCTTGTTTCAATACACAAATTAAATTTACTCTAATAAACCAAGTTTCAAAGTAATAAATCAAAAATTATATTGAGTGGTGCAAAAAATTTTTTTTGCACCACTCAATAGAATATTTATTCCTAAATCAGATTCAGTATAAAAATGTTGATTTTCTGTAAGAATTGTAACATAGCAGTAAACAAAAATTTTATGTTTTAAGAGCAAAAATTTGCTATTATGCAATTCAGACCAGCTTTCTGATTAGCATTAGATAAGGTTAGTTTATTAAGTTATAACAATGCAACACTTGGGCGATCTGCCTAGGGGATGCCTTCTGAAAGGCCTTTTTAAGGGTAACTGGCCCCTATTCAGGCGTTACAAATATGGAGAAAACCCGGAAAACTCCACGTAGTAAGCCTGTCCTGGCGAGGTGCGAACCAACAACTGAACTACCAGTGTTCAGGGAACTGAACTGCTTGGCATTAAATAAGAATTTGATCGAGTGTCATCAACAAACTTGTGACAAATTTCAGATATTTCAAATAAATTTTCTAACCTTAATGCAATTAATGTTATTCAATACAATGCTGGGCAAATATAGATTGGATCAACAACTTTACAGAAAATCAATGTTTCTTTTTGTTGCTGATTCTGATTAATCAGCAAGTGTTCTTTTGATTGGCACAAAACAAATTTTGACTATCCATTTGTTACTCAGAAACTCGGCTCGTAAGATGCTTTTTATTTGAAGAAGTCTTAAAAACTATTTGTACTACTTTCAAAATTACAAGTAACATGCCAAAAATTATTATAAGTTATATATCTAAAAACAATAATGTCATGGATGAAATTATTTAATTATTAGCTTATAATTTGTATTCTTAAACTTGAATGTTAAGATATCTATGTAAGCATGAATTTTGTCTCCTGAAAGACAGCAGAGCTGAAAGACATTAGGAAAAAAAGTAATTTTTCTGAAAAAGCAGTTTAATTTCATAATACAGGTAAGCCTCCTACAACGCAGTACCTTTACAACACGTTTTCACTCCAATGTGTTTGGAAAAATGTGGAAATTTTCTTACAATGCAGTACTTTTACAACGTGGTTTATGGCATTCAGAAACGAATTATCTTTCACATAACAGAAAACTCACAACGGATCACATGATACGAGCCGCAGTTTGGTGTACAGAGCTAAATGTCCTTGAAAACAGCTGTTTGTGGACGTTCACGTGTCGTTCCCATGAAAATTTCAGGGAAAGATCGATTTATAGGCAGATGTGCATCAGTTACCATAAACACTCAAATATATCACTAAATTTTCGATCATTTATACCAGGGGTGGCCAACAGTTTTTGTCTCCGGGCCGAATTGGAAAGAAAACTTTTTCCAAGGGCCAAACCAGAGGCTGCGCTAGGAAGATTTTGAGGTGGTGCGAGATCTCATTGTGGTGTCACCCCGTCGAGACTAAATTGTACATAGAGATTACAGATACATTTTTCACATTAATGTGCTTTATCAACACTCTACACTGTACTTAAGAGATTGTAATGGAGGATTAATTCTAAACGCAGAGTGAGTTGTTGACCCTTATTTTTTTTTAGGCGTCAAAAGTTTTCATCA